CAATATATTTTGTGTGATATATATATATATATATATATATATATATATATATATATATATAAGCCCCAAACCATAGAGCTTAATAACCATATTATTATTAATAATAATAACCTAACTGAAAAAAAAAAACAGGACAGCGGGCCAAATCAGCCGCCAGGCCACCGGGAATTCTCCCAGTGCTCCCGATGGCCAGACTGGGCCTGCCACTGGTGCAGCTGGACATGGTCTCATGCTCTCTAACTCAATAGAGAGCGTGGGTCCCGTATAACCAGACCCGAAGAAATAGCGGGACCAAATAACCATTCATGCGTACAGAGCTTACTGCTCCTCAGAGCAGAAGCATACAAGAGGGGTTTCCACAGAAACACAAATCCCTCATACCTCAGGGAACGCAGTGTACCCACGCAGAGGGGTGATTACTGGTTCAACCATAAGGACAGTGTGACAGGGAGGACCCACAGGCCTGACCGTCTATGGAGCGAGAGGAGCTCTAGCTCAGAGAACGTACATGATGGTTAAGGAAAGACCCAAATCTCAGGAGAACCCTCAGGGTGATAGATGAGTAGCGCACCCTGGCCAGTTTAGGATAGGGAGCATGTCACGAAGCATGTACTCAGAAGAGTACTAGCCCGCAAGAAGGACCCACAGGTGCTGAGGTTGCAGCGCTATACTGGGGACCTGATGCTGGGAGACTTCCGCAGAAATCCAGGCTGCGAGTCCAAGCCGAATATGAGGGCTATCACCAGCCTGGATCCAGTACTGATGAGAGAAACCATCACTATAGTCGGTCAACAGCAGGACGTCCTGACTTAGCAGGGGGGGGGTCAAACCTAAAAAAGTCAGAAAACAGAATAGATCAGAGTAGCGGTGCAGAGAAAGGCTAGTATTGAATACACAAAAACTAGCAGTAGAGTAGATTAAATAGATCGTACTCACCAACCATGGCTGCCGCGCATGACCTAAGGCTGGAGGTGACCCAAGGCTGGAGGTGAAGTCCGAAGACCACTGGGGTCCGGACCATCAGTAGGTAGTTCTATGAGACATAGAAACTAGCCAAAACATCATAGACCCAGCATAAGAGACTGCAATGCAAGTGCAGGAGGCTCCTACCTAACCTCAGTTAGGAGGGAAGTTTTTTAGGGGAATTAAGGGGAGGAAGATGAGAGAAGATGCAAATACTCTCAGAGGGAGGTGAGTAGATGACTAAGGTTTTACTCTGGTCCAGACAAGAGCGTTGAGAATGCCAAGTCTTGATCACCTCCCTCAAATCTTGCCTGTCTCCCTTTGACCCACGCCCCTTTTGAGCCCTACCCGCAGGTGGGGAAGGGGCGTGAGTCGCAACACTAGTCTTCTGAGCCTGCCTTTGATCCTTTAGGCCGGGACACACCAAGCCTACTTCAAAGAATTAGCGGCGACGAAAGCCGACGGTGTTGTCGCCTCGCGTCGGACCAAAAAGCTGCGCTCGAACACACCGCACAGACTACAGCCGACGGCAAATTAACACGTGCGTTCTGCGGCCTTTAGATTGAGACGGGCCAGGACCCATTGGTTGTTCGGGCTAAGACCTGGGGTCTCATTTATAAAACTTTTCGTAGATTTCATTCTAAAATGTGCATAGGCACAAAAGCTAGATTTTGCGTACACTCAAAAGTTTTCAGATTTATAAAACCATGCGTACGGCAGAACCTGTGCAAAAATCCCTTTATAAAACCCAGTCAGGGTAAGATTGTGCGTACGTGCATCTCCACCCCCACTCCTCCCCGAAATCATCATATATGGAGCTTACAACGCCTAGTTTTACTATGCATAACCTCATCTGAATATCTTTTCTATGCATATTCTCATCCATGTGACACCATGTTTAATACTGTCAAAGGTACAAGACATTAAAGAAATATGAGATACGGACTATAAATGCCATTTGTGCCATACACATTAATTTTTATTGCTAAAAATCATATATTATACACCTGTATCCTTGTTATGTTTAAGAATAAATATGTGACCCTGGACCACAAAACCAGTCATAAGGGTCAATTTTTCGAAATTGAGATTTATATATCACATGGAAGCTGAATAAATAAGCTTTCCATTGATGTATTGTTTGTTAGGATAGGACAATATTTGGCCGAGATACAACTATTTGAAAATCAGGGCCCATATTCACAAAACATTTTAAGGCTAAAAGTAGCTTATAATTCGCCGATTTAGGAGAAAATCTTAAAAATAATGGGCATGTCAGTCCTAAATTTAGGACTCCTACATTTTTGTTCTAAGAGTATTTCACAAAGCGTTTTAGCGCTAAAAGTAGCTCCTAAATCTGTGAAATGTTAGGAGTAGTGAAGAGGACTCCTAAGTCACTAAGACCAAATCTGAACTATCCTAAAATAGCAGTTGCCAGCAATCTACCTCGGAATATAAACATTTGTGACCCTGGAGCACAAAACCAGTCTTAAGTCGCTGGGGTATATTTACAGCAATAGCCAAAAATACATTGTAGGGGTCAAAATTATAGATTTTTCTTTTATGCCAAAAATCATTAGGATATTAAGTAAAGATCATGTTCCATGAAGATATTTTGTAAATTTCCTACCATAAATATATAAAAACTTAATTTTTGATTAGTAATATGCATTGCTAAGGACTTCATCTGGATAACTTTAAAGGCTATTTTCTCAATATTTAGATCTTTTTGCACCCTCAGATTCCAGATTTCATATAGTTGTATCTCGACCAAATATTGTCCTATCCTAACAAACCATACATACATCAATGGAAAGCTTATTTGTTCAGCTTTCAGATGATGTTTAAATTTCAATTGTGAAAAATTTACACAAATTGTTATATTTCTCATAACATGAGATGTGCAGTTTACTTTAAAGATAAATTATTGTGCACCTATAGCACTTCTCGCTGTCATTAAAACATAACATACCACAGGAAAAGTAATCAAGCGCATCCACTACAAAAAGGCTATGTCTAAATTTATATAAATTTGGTTTAACTTCTGCGTAATGACTTTATGTAATTTCAGTGCTTATCTCCATTAATGAGAGTGGAATATTTAATGTAAATGTATATGATGAATTGAAAACCGTTTAAAATCGTTGTTTACTTCATTACTTTTCTCTCTCCAGGAAAAAAAAAAAGTCAATACACACGAGTTTGCATGCAGGTGCGGAAATTTTCCCGTCAAGTTTGTTTTTTATAAATCCCACCTTTTGCATAGGAAGTGGCATACGCCTCTTTCAGGGCAGGTTTTGTGCGTACGCAATGGTTATAAATGAGGCCCCTGAACCTTCATGGAATGAAGGATTTAAAGGCAGCTGAGCGCATCTTGGCCTCCTTAAACTTCTCGACCACTGTCTCAACGGAAGTGCCGAAAAGCTCAGAAGGGGAAACTGGCGCAACAAGAAGAAAGCCCTTTTCTTTCGACCCAATATCCACCAGATTCACCCACAGATGTCTCTCTGTAACCACCATGGATCTGCCAATGGTGGCGGCCTGCTTAGTGGCACGGAGTGCAAGATCTGTGGTGCGACGCAACTCAGTCACCTCATCAGGGGATAGACCCTGACCTTTATCCAGGTCTTTAAGCAGATAAGCCTGAAGCACCGCGATGGTATGCAACAAGGCTGCAGCCGGACCTGCTGCCACGTATGCCCTGCCATTCAAACGAGATGTATCCTGAAGGGGTTTGGATGGTAGGGAGGGAGCCTTAAGAGAAGATGTCTCCCCCATAGTGAGATAGCAGGCCAGTGTCTCTTCAACTGGGGGCATCTTCTCATAACCATTCTCAAGCATCCCCTAAATGTTGGCATAACTAGTATGCTGGAATCTATGGATGCGAGATGAGAATGGATTATTCCAAGCCTTTTCCACATGGAGTTCGGGAAGAAAAGGAAGGCTCACCTGAGCTGGAGGGCTATGGCTAGAAAGAAAACTCTCGTCAAGGCGGCCTCGAAGTGTCACTTTCTTGGCCCGCTTCCACGGCAAGTCAAGCCTCGCCGTGGCGCGATCCATAACCTCAAGCAGCTCATCATATGCGGGGCAGGAGGATTGGGAGGACTCAGTCTAAACTTCTTCGTCCTCATCTGACATCCCCTGCTCATCCTGGCTTGGAGCCAGCAGAGCACTAGCCGCTGGATCAGGCGATGTAAGAGAGATAGCATCATTGTCCAGCAGCTCACTCTCGACCGTGACTGATGAGCGTGAAAGGGAAAGACCCTTTTTCAACTCATCAGCCAGGTCCACCTGCGATCCCCACAAGCTAATTTTCTTCCGTGCCTCAGCAGCAGAGGGTCCTGAACCATGGGGAGCTGATGGCTGTCCCTCTTTCCTTGAAAAGAGAGACCAACGAGAGCGAAGCTTTTTCATAGGAAAATGCCCACAGTGCACGCAAACTGCCCCCTCGAGGAGGACATCGTGCGCATGCTCGCATTGCTCTTCGGCCAAACAAAAGATGCAAAGATCGTGTGTGTCATCAGGTGTCAAATAATGAGGACACGGATCCACACACTTCTTAAACGCTTTACTAATAGGGATGGCTGACGCGAAACTGATGTTTCGACACGGTGTCGAGATCCCAAAGCGCAGTTGTTTTGAAACACTGCTCCGAAGTGTGATTCGAAACACCCATGTCATGTGACTAAGGCGAATCAACGCATCGGTGCGTTTCACATGTGTTTCGAGACCCGAATCTGCTTTTGATCGATAGGGTCGGGAACAAACCACACAATCGCACATCAGTCTTAACCTAACTCCCGCAAAGTATAAAAGTGGAGTTAATGCAGCAGAACAATTAATATATTTAAATAAAAATCTTTATATGTAAAAAAATGCCAGGCATTGTGGCTTGATGTCTTTTATTAATGTTAATTTTTTCATGAACAAAATAACATTCACAAATAGTTAATTCAGTTGTCAGAGAGATGTTACAACACATTACAAGAACAGAACAATAAAATGTATTATAATTATACACATGCTTCGAACCTAAAGTGACAAGTTCTGACAACATGCCAATCGTGCACACTAACCACTACCCCAACCCACATGGTGGAATGAGGAGCTCAACATATAAGTTATAATTCATCAATTCGCCTAACTGATTAGTTGTCAATGCTGTTTCAGAGCAATACTTGAAAAAGACCACTAGGTGTCACCGTAGAGGCGGGTGTCGAATTGTTTCATAGCCTCGGCACATTTGCTTCGACTGTTTCAGTGTTTCATGAAGCCTCGCTCTGCCCACCACTACTTATAGTCCATGGGCCAAGCCAGAATTTGGTACCACCTAAGGTGGCAAAATCTCTTTGGTACCAGTTTGTTTGTAGAGTCCATATAAGTACTTTGAAACATGGTAACCATTTCAAATGAGTAGCTTTACTAATCTTTTGGGACAATCATTATTTTTGCCATTATCGTCCTACAGTATCTGCACAGCAGGTTTGTATGAAGTCTATTGTAAGAGGTAGCCATACATGCTATATGTTGATTTTTTCAGGAAAGTCAGGGCTATCCAGATCTGCCATAATTTTACATGATATTTGTTGTATACGTTTTATATTAGACTTCGTATTAAAGAAAACTATTTATTTGCATCTATTAAATTGTTATATTTGTATATCTATCTCAAAAGATATTGATGTTAGGGGGGATATCTTTTCAGATATGGATAGACAAGACTGTCTGTAATCTGGTGATATCAGAACCATGATGGTGGGACAATCCATGACCTAGCAATTTGAAGAAATATGTATGTACTGTATATGAAATAGTATATTATGCAACATCAACGACTGGTGCTAGTTTCAAAACCAGATTACTCCACCATACTTCATTGTACAGATAAGCCACTAGCATCATCTGAAAAGGAGAGTCCTGCTGTTTATTTTGATATGTGTTACCCTGGGAGGCTACAAGCACTTCGCGACTTATTCAGCTATGACTCAGCTGTGTGAAAATGAGTGAAGAAATGACCGATGATTGCAACTTTGTTTAATTTGATGCATTTTCAAATCAAGATTACTCCGACCATCTTTGTTCTACAAGCAAGGTAGCGTCACTCTGAAGCAGAAGGTCCAGTCTTTCATTTGATACCCGTTTTATACAATAACAACTTCGTGAGTAATTAAAAAAAAGATTGATGAGTGTGTGGAGATGCAGAGATGGAAGTAGTTTAAGACGGCTGAAATTTCATGTGATTTCAAAACCAGATTGAAGGACTGATTGAACATCCTACAGTGGTACCATTCACAGACCTGACCTCTAAACTGGTGACAGAAATGGCTGAATGTGGTGTAACACAAGTGGCACCTTCTACAAAGAAACACCTACGTCGCAAGGTTGAAGCTGAATTTGGTGAATCTTTACACATCATACCAAATGACAAAGGAAAGCTGTTGGTATACCCTGACAATTTGACAATGGATGAACTTGTAAAGGTTTGCCAGAAATTAAAAGATGAACTGAAGGAGCACAAATCAAGCGTTAGCGAAGACATCATATCGCAAGTGGCACTGAAGATCAGAGGTGATATTCGGAACCAAGATATTACTCAAAGCATGGCCACCACATGCGTCAGATCTTGAGATGATGAACAGCACTCGTACATCTCTAGTGGAGTTTCTTCAGACACTCCTAACAGGTTCATCCAAAGTAGGTAATAACCCATTACAGAGGGTGCAAAGGCTCACAGCTTCATTCAGCCAAGACCTAGTTTATGCTGTTACTTGCGGCAAAGTCAAGCCTACAAAACATATTGTGTTGCCCTTTGCTGTCAAGTCACTCACTGGAAATGTGGAACTGATAAAGATACTGAATAGACTCGGCCATGGTGTTTCATATTCTCAGGTAGAAGAAATTGACACAGCCCTTTGCCTTCAGAAGCAAGCAGCAAGTGGAGATGCCATCCCACTACCACAAAACATCAAGCCTGGTCTGTTCACAACATTGGCGTGGGACAATATAGACAGACTAGAGGAGTGGTGAAGGGGTGAAGGGACATCACAGAGTAAATGGAATTGCTGTGCAAACAAAGCCTACTGCTGATCATCCTGCTGAGTTTGCCTTGCTGCCTTGCATCCCCAAAACCAAGAAGAGAAGCATTGAAGCAGTAGAGATGGTACTTCCCATTTACAATGCAGGAGAGCGTGCCAATCCTCCTTTTATACAGACGGTTGACACTGATCATGCCTCCTTTCTACAGGATGCAGCAGACAGAAACCACATGTGGCTAATGGCTCATCTTTCCAACAAAGATGTTTGCAGCTGGACTGGGTTCAACATCCTCACCCACAACGATACAAGTGTACAAGAAGATAGTATAGGCTATTTGCCCACAATCAATGCTCCTGCTACACAGTTATCAACAGTACATGAGGTACTTCACCAGTCGATAAGCATCATGAAGTCTCTGCAGCTCAACAACATTGTTGTTGTTTTTGACCAGGCATTATATGCCAAAGCTACAGAAATTACCTGGAAACACCAGGAGCTATTCAAGAACATCATCCTTAGAATGGGGGTTTTCCATACCACCTGTACTTTCATGGCAACAATTGGAAAACGGTTTGCAGATGCTGGTCTAAGAGACCTTTGTGTAGAGGCAGAAGTGATAGCTGATGGCTCAATCTCAGGGGTTATTGATGGTCACAGGTATAATCGAGCAGTAAGGCTCCACAAGCTGCTCTATGAGGCTTTCCTGAGACTAGCATGGAAAGGTTTTCATCCATGGTTAGAACAGAATCATCAGGAAGATCTTATTCACTTGGAAGCAACTCTGCAAGCAGTCGAAAACCTGTGTGAAGAAATATCTCAGACAAGATTTGAGGGAACCCTCGAGCAAGATTCATGTCAACGCATTCTGACACGATTCAATGAGTTCCTCAGCTACCTAAGAGAAAACAATGGTCCCCTGTCTGCCTTCTGGATGTCTTATGTGGACATGGTTGAGATTTTGCTTAGTCTTATTCAAGCATCAAGAGAGGGAAAGTGGATGATGCATCTTGAATTACCAGGCAGCTGTCTGGAGGCACTGTCTGGAAGGACAGCCAGACATACCCGAACCAAAAGGACATGGATGGACAACTGATGACAAAGGTATGCTTATAATAAATACAATAATTACATTTTCTAATAACTAATAATAAAATAGTATAAATATGTATAGGTTATTTCTAGACATTTGGACACCTCACTGAAATGGATGAGAAATATCTTCCACTTATTTGTACAGGTATGCTGATGTTAGACTGGATGCGGGGACCCCCAGCACCAATGGCTGTTCTGGAGCTTATGGCCTGCAAGTGTTCACGGACCTGCAAGCTTCCCGACTGTTCCTGTCTTGCCAACAAATTAAAGTGCACAGAAATGTGCAAGCTACAAACCTGCAGCAATCAGAGGGAGGAGGAGGAGGAGGATACTGATGTCATGAAACTGGTTGAATATGATGATGATGACGATGATGATGATGATGATGAATAAACAGAAACAGTTTGCAATGACCAAATAAGTTCATGAACAAGGTAGAATTATTTTGTTTTTCTTTGTATGACATGTTCTGTTCAAATAAAGTAACAAGATTTTTTAATTCTTTGGCTCAACGGTTAGTGTCATTGAAAGCTGATTTCTGTGACAAAGCTACCACTAACAAAAGGTTATCATGTTGTAATATCATCTAGAGATATGTACAAAAAAAAAATCATACTAGAATTTGCCACCTTGGGTGGTACCAATTAGTGAAAATTGTGGCCTGGGCCCACGGACTATTACTAGTGCTCGCCATGGTAAAGAAGAAGAATTGTTCTTACCAGAAATGCACGCTTCAAACAAAACAGTCCTTGAAAACGAAGAAGAGCATGACCTGTTCTCCCGGCGCCCTTTAATACTGTGGACATGCCGGGTGATGATGTCAAAGGCTGTCGCTGGCCAATGTTACTAGGCTTGTTTGAGATGCGCCTCGCCTCGCCTGAAATGTAGGCAAGAGTAGTCGGCTGCAGTGAGGGGAGGAGTGAAATAAGCGCAGTCAAGACGGACAGTTCTGCCCTCTCAAAGTGGAACAGATACCAACGAGATCAAAGGCAGATATCGCATTATTCTCACTCACGTGCTGTGTTGCTTACAAACATGATATAATTTCAGTTCTGATGCTTTTATATGAAAATAAATATTATGACCAAGACACTCAAAGTGCTTGCTATTTAATTCCATACGAAAGGAAAGACATTCTCCAAAAATGGACTACTCTGGATTTGATCGGTCTTCATGGGAATCACGCATATCAAAGGACCACATACACTGTGTCGTCAGTCAGTCGTTTCCCATCATGCTTTTGATCAGCGCAGTCGGTGGAGAGCAACTGCACAATCCGACACAGCCGCCTCGCTGTTGCGAGAGTTTTTTGGCACACGTCAGACACTCAAAGTGCTTGCTATTTAATTCCATACGAAAGGAAAGACATTCTCCAAAAATGGACTACTCTGGATTTGATCGGTCTTCATGGGACACACGCATATCAAAGGACCACATACACTGTGTCGTCAGTCAGTCGTTTCCCATCATGCTTTTGATCAGCGCAGTCAGTGGAGAGCAACTGCCCTCGACTGCACAATCCGACACAGCGGCCTCGCCATCGCAAGAGTTTTTTGGCACACGTCAGCATGACATCAGAGCAAGTCAGACGTAACTCGGACACTTTTCTAACCGGCATGCATCTCGTGGTGATCGGTTCTGTGCAGATTTTGCTCATCTCAAACAAGCCTATTGTGCAGTCAAGCGCAGTTGCTCTCCACCGACTGCACTGATCAAAAGCATGATGGGAAACGACTGACTGACGACACAGCTTAATGGTCATTGGTTCAGACAACTGTAATGCTGCGGTTCTCTTCTAAAATATTTTATTTTTTGTATCTGATTTTATGTGATTATGTATTTAAATTATGCATGAATGTTCCCAAACACTATGACAGTGCGACCTCTGTGTGAGATCATGTGATTGTTGTCATATTTCT